AAAGTTATAGATAGATAGATATAGAAATGTTTTAAATAAAGTTATAGTTAGATAGATATAGAAATGTTTTAAATAAAGTTATAGATAGATAGACAGATATAGAAATGTTTTAAATAAAGTTATAGATAGACAGATATAGAAATGTTTTAAATAAAGTTATAGATAGATATAGAAATGTTTTAAATAAAATTATATATAGATAGAGATAGAAATGTTTTTAAAAAAATTACAGATATAGAAATGTTTTAAATAAAACTATAGATAGATAGAGAAATGTATTAAATAAAATTATAGATAGATAGATAGAGGCTTGGTGCGAATGGGGCGGCATAGAAATGTTTTAAATCCAATTATAGCTAGATAGATAGCTAGATAGATAGATATAGAAATGTTTTAAATAAAATTATAGATAGATTGATTGATTGATTGATTGATAAATAAATGTTTTCCGCTTCCGCAGCCCGAGGGTCTGCCCAGGCAATATACATACAGTGTCTTCTTCTGCCCGAATGGTAAGCGTTTCAGGAGGTTCGTCTGGGCCTGGGGGGGAACCTGGACTTGATGGCCTTCATGGCCCCTTCCAGCTCCTCTAGCCCATGATCCTGATCCAGGGGGTGGACTTGATGGCCTCCATGGCCCCTTCCAGCTCCACAATTCCATGATCCTGATCCAGGGGTTGGACTTGATGGCCTTCATGGCCCCTTCCAGCTCCACGATTCCATGTCCTGATCCAGGGGTAGGACTTGATGGCCTTCATGGCCCCTTCCAGCTCTTGCATTGGGTGATCCAGAGGGTTGGACCTGATGGACTTCATGGCCCCATCCAACTCTACCACTCCATGATTTTAGGATCCATTTTGTAGAAGGCAAGCTGGTGGGTGGAAGTGGAACGTCTTGAGGAGGTGGATTGGAATGGACCTTCTTGAGACGTTGGGATGGAGCTCCTGGAGAAGTTGGCCTGGAGCTCCTGGAGAAGGTGGGATGAAACCTCTTGAGAAGTTGCTTTGGAACATCTTGAGAAGGTGGGATGGAGCTTCTGGAGAAGTTGGCCTGGAGCTCCTTGATAAGTTGGCCTGGAGCTCCTGGAGAAGGTGGGATGGAGCTCCTTGAGAAGTTGGCCTGGAGCTCCTGGAGAAGTTGGCCTGGAGCTCCTGGAGAAGGTGGCCTGGTGCTCCTTGAGAAGGTGGGATGGGATGGACCTTTTTGAGACGTTGGGATGGAGCTTCTGGAGAAGTTGGCCTGGAGCTCCTTGAGAAGTTGGCCTGGAGCTCCTGGAGAAGGTGGGAGGGAACGTCTTGAGAAGGTGGGATGGGATGGATCTTCTTGAGGCGTTGGGATGGAGCTCCTGGAGAAGTTGGCCTGGAGCTCCTTGCGAAGTTGGCCTGGAGCTCCTGGAGAAGTTGGCCTGGAGCTCCTTGCGAAGTTGGCCTGGAGCTCCTTGAGAAGGTGGGATGGAACATTTTGAGAAGATGGGATGGAGCTCCTTGAGAAGTTGGCCTGGAACTCCTTGAGAAGGTGGGATAGAACGTCTTGAGAAGGTGGGATGGAGCTCCTTGAGAAGTTGGCCTGGAGCTCCTTGAGAAGGTGGGATGGAACGTCTTGAGAAGGTGGGATGGAATGTCTTGAGAAGGTGGGATGGAGCTCCTTGAGAAGTTGGCCTGGAGCTCCTGGAGAAGGTGGCCTGGAGCTCCTGGAGAAGGTGGGATGGAACGTCTTGAGAAGGTGGGATGGGATGGACCTTCTTGAGACGTTGGGATGGAGCTTTTGGAGAAGGTGGCATGGAGCTCCTGGAGAAGGTGGGGTGGACCTTCTTGAGTCATTGGAATGGAGCTCCTGGAAAAGTTGGCTTGGAGCTCCTTGACAAGGTGGGGTGGACCTTCTTGAGTCATTGGAATGGAGCTCCTGGAAAAGTTGGCCTGGAGCTCCTTGACAAGGTGGGATGGACCTTCTTGAGTCCTTGGAATGGAGCTCCTTGAGAAGGTGGCCTGGAGCTCCTTGAGAAGGTGGCCTGGAGCTCCGTCAGAAGGTGGCCTGGAGCCCTTGCTGACAACGGGTGGTGGTCGTCTCTCGCTTTCTCTCCGACCAGAGCAAATCCACATTTCCACCCCCAACAAATACGAGTATCAGTACGTGCGGAAACCCACCCGCATGACCCGCTTTGACGTCGCCATCAAGGCCCACCACAGCGCCCACATAGTCCTCTCCTCCGCCCCCCACGATGTGGCCGAGGCCACCGAGATCGTCATCGGCGGGCTGCAGAACACCCGGACGTGGATCTCCGCCGGGAGGATGGGCGACCCCGTGGCCAGCGAGAAGACCTTCGGCATCCTCTCCTGGCACGAGTTCCAGACCTTCTGGATCAGCTGGGCCGATGGACTCATCCAGGTGGGACCTCTGGGCTCCTCCTGGCCTGCCGTTGAGCAGGACCCCCAGGTCCAAAGGGGGGGAGAAGCTCTGGTCCCATCTTCTCGTTCGGCGCGGGGGGGGGGGGGGGAGCTCTGCTTGGATGTCGGGGGTCCTTCCTCGGGAGGATCTGGGCTTGCTTGGGACGCCAAGGGTCCTTCCTTGGGAGATCTGATCTTCTTTGGGATGTCGGGGGTCCTTCCTCGAGAGAAGCCGGGCTTGCTTGGGACCCCGGGGGTCCTTGGAGGATCCGGCCTTGCTTGGGACGCCGGGGGTCATTCCTTGGGAGGATCTGGTCTTCTTTGGGATGCCAGGGATCCTTCCTTGGAGGATCCGGCCTTCTTTGGGATGTCAGGGGTCCTTCCCCGGGAGGATCTGGTCTTCTTTAGGATGTTGGGAGTCCTTCCTCGGGAGGAGCCAGGCTCACTTGGGATGTCGGGGGTCCTTAGGGGGATCCGGCCTTGCTTGGGATGTCGGGGGTCCTTCCTCGGGAGGATCTGGTCTTCTTTGGGATGTCGGGGATCCTTCCTTGGGAGGATCTGGTCTTCTTTGGGACGTCGGGGGTCCTTCCTCAGGAGGACCCAGCCTTCTTTGGGACATCAGGGGTCCTTCCTTGGGAGGATCTGGTCTTCTTTGGACCCGGAAGATCTGGCCTGGCTTCACAGGACGACGGGTCCGCAACTGAGCGCCGGGTCTTCTCCTCCCCCAGGTGGGGCACGGCCCCCCGGCCCCCGGCGAGGCCGTCATCGTGAGCTGGGCCGCCCCCCGGCGGCAGGACCCCAAATACGTGGGCTTCTCCACGGGGTGGGGCTCGGCCGGCGAGTTCAAGATCTGGAGGAAGGAGGAGGCCGAGGAAAACCACAACGAGGCCTTCACCTTGGGGGTGCCCCACAACATGGTGCCGGGCTCCGAGAGGGCCACCGCCTCCGTCATCGGTACCGAATGGGGCGGGGAGAGGGGGGCCCGGGGTGGGGACACCCCCCTGCAGACCCCCAGGGATGGGGAGGGGTGGGGCTCCGGGTGTCCCTCCTGGAGAACGTCTCTTGGGGGGCTGGATGGGAAGCGTCCGCCGCCGAGGGGAGCCGGATTCGGGGCAGCCCCCCAGCTTCCGGAGGCTGGGCTCTCGCCCCCCGGGGGCCCCCCGGATCTGCATCTGCCCCCCAAGGTCTGTCTCCCACAGCTTGGGCTCCCGGGTGATGCTCGGGGGGCCCGGGACCTGCGATTGGCTGTGGGGCGCATCCTGCCAGGGCTCAGGGGACGCCCGTGTGGGGCTGAGACCTGGACTTGGCTGGGGGGCCCATCCTGCCAGGTCTGAGCTGACTCTCCTATGGGGCTGATACCGTGGGTCCCATCCTGCCGGGGTCCCAGGGGACTCTCCTATGGGGCTGATACCTGGACTTAGCTGTGGGTCGCATCCTGCCAGGTCTGAGCTGATTCTTCTATGGGGCTGATACTGTGGGTCGCATCCTGCCGGGGTCCCAGGGGACTCTCCTATGGGGCTGATACCTGGACTTAGCTGTGGGTCGCATCCTGCCAGGTCTGAGCTGACTCTCCTATGGGGCTGATCTGTGGGCCCCATCCTGCCGGGGTCCCAGGGGACTCTCCTATGGGGCTAACGTGGGTCCCATCCTGCCAGGGTCCCAGGGGACTCTCCTATGGGGCTGATACCTGGACTTAGCTGTGGGTCGCATCCTGCCAGGTCTGAGCTGACTCTCCTATGGGGCTGATCTGTGGGCCCCATCCTGCCGGGGTCCCAGGGGACTCTCCTATGGGGCTGATCTGGGGGCCCCATCCTGCCAGGGTCCCAGGGGACTCTCCTATGGGGCTGATACCTGGACTTAGCTGTGGGTCGCATCCTGCCAGGTCTGAGCTGACTCTCCTATGGGGCTGATCTGTGGGCCCCATCCTGCCGGGGTCCCAGGGGACTCTCCTATGGGGCTGATACTGTGGGTCCCATCCTGCCGGGGTCCCAGGGGACTCTCCTATGGGGCTGATACCGAGGGTCCCATCCTGCCGGGGTCCCAGGGGACTCTCCTATGGGGCTGATACCGAGGGTCCCATCCTGCCAGGGTCCCAGGGGACTCCTATGGGGCTGATGCCATGGGTCCCATCCTGCCAGGGTCCCAGGGGACTCTCCTGTGGGGCTGATCTGTGGGCCCCTTCCTGCTGGGGTCCCAGAGGACTCTCCTATGGGGCTGATCTGTGGGCCCCATCCTGCCACATCCTATGGTGCTGATTCCGTGCGTCGCATCCTGTGGTCCAACCCTGCCACTCCCCGTCCCCCCCCAGAGGGGGCCCCCAAGCCCCCCCAGCCCTGCCCCCCCGGTGGCCCCCCCCCCCCCCCACAGAGCTCCGCCCCCCGGCGCTGAGCCCCCTCCCCTCGCCCACCCAGGGGACGTGGTGGGCCCAGCCCTCGGCAACCTGGGCCACCTCCTCCAGCTGCCCCTCGGCTGCGGCGAGCAGAACATGGTGCACTTCGCCCCCAACGTCTTCGTCCTGAAGTACCTTCAGAAGACCCAGCAGCTCGAGCAGGAAGTGGAACGGGAAGCCACGGACTTCCTGCTCCAAGGTACTTCCACCCGGACGTAGTTATGGACCTCCAGGGTCAACCCCCCGGGGGGCGTCCGGATGCGGCCCCCCCGTCTCCGTCCTGGGGGTCCACCCCCACCTTGGCCTGTGTCCTCCTCAGGGTACCAGCGGCAGTTGACCTACAGGAGGCGGGACGGGTCCTACAGCGCCTTCGGGCAGCGGGATTCTTCCGGAAGCATGTGGTACGTGGTGTGAGGGCAGTCAACAGGGACGGAGAGGCCGTCCTGGGGATGATGGGCATGGTGGTGGCATCTCCCCAGCTTCCTTGGTGCCTCCAGGCTCACCGCCTTCGTGCTGAAGTCCTTCGCCCAGGCCAGGGGCTTCATCTACATTGACCCCAAGGAGCTGCTGGCAGCCAAGGAGTGGATCGTCCGGCAGCAGGGGGACGATGGGTCCTTCCCGGCGGTGGGGAGCGTCCTGAACAAGGATATCCAGGTGTGTGGGGTTGGCGCCGTGGTGGCTCCGGAGGGGAGGAGGTGGCGGGAGGCCGGGACATCCGGGTGGGCTTCTGGGGCCCATGGGGGTCGGGGGGAGGAGGAGCCGTCCGGAGGAGGACCCCTGGGGGGGAGCTGGAGAAGGTGGATGCTGGGCCACCTGCAGCTGCGGTGGTGGAGGTCCATCAAGGGGTATCAGGGGAAGGGTCCTCACGGTCGGAGGAAGGTGGCGGGAGGAGGAGTTGCCGGGGAGGTGGTGGTCTCTGGGGGGCCTTCATGGCCCTTCCGAGTCTTCTGTTCCATGATCCCATCATCCACAGTTGGACTCCATGGCCTTCATGGCCCCTTCCAACTCTACTATGATTCTAGGGTTGGACCTGATGGCCTTCGTGGGCCCTCCAACTCCAATATTCCATGATCCCATCATCCACGGTTGGACTCCATGGCCCCTCCAACTCCACTATTCCATGATCCCATCATCCACGGTTGGACTTGATGTCCTCCATGGCCCCTTCCAACTCTACTATGATTCCAGGGTTGGACCTGATGGCCTTCATGGGCCCTCCAACTCCACCATTCCATGATCCCATCATCCACAGTTGGACTTCATAGCCCCGACTCTACTATGGTTCTAGTGTGGGACTTGATGTCCTCCATGACCACCTTCGGCTCCACCATCCCACGATCCCTTCATCCATGGTCGGACCCGATGTCCTCCATGGCCCCTCCAACTCCACCATTCCATGATCCCATCATCCACGGTCAGACCTGATGGCCTCCATGGCCCCTTCCAACTCTACTATGATTCTAGGGTTGGACCTGATGTCCTCCATGACCCAACTCCACCATTCCATGATCCCATCATCCACGGTCGGACCCGATGTCCTCCATGGGCCCTCCAGCTCCATCCCATCATCCACAGTCGGCCCTGATGTCCTCCATGTACCCTCCAACTCCACTATTCCATGATCCCATCATCCACAGTTGGACTCCATGGTCTTCATGGCCCCTTCCAACTCTACTATGATTCTAGGGTTGGACCTGATGTCCTCCATGACCCAACTCCACCATTCCATGATCCCATCATCCACAGTCGGACCTGATGTCCTCCATGGGCCCTCCAGCTCCATCCCATCATCCACAGTCGGCCCTGATGTCCTCCATGTCCCCTCCAACTCCACTATTCCATGATCTCATCATCCACGGTTGGACCTGATGGCCTCCATGGCCCTTTCCAACTCTACTGTGATTCTAGGGTTGGACCTGATGTCCTCTGTGGCCCCTCCAACTCCACTATTCCATGATCCCATCATCCACGGTCAGACCTGATGTCCTCCATGGCCCCTCCAACTCCACCATTCCATGATCCCATCATCCACGGTCAGCCCTGACGTCCACCAGGTCCCCTCCAACTCCCCCCTCCCACGATCCTGATGCCTCCAAGATCTCCCATCTCCGATGGTCCCACGCATGGAGACCCATCCTCCCCAGTCCAGCCCCATCCCCGAGAGGGACCCCACCCCAGAGGACAAGATGGAAGCCCACCCGATGGGACCCCCATCCGGGCCTCGGCAGGGGATGCTGGGACGTGGGGGGCATCTCCCCAGCTTCTGGTGGGTCCCGTAATTTCGTGCTCCGCTCCAGGGGGGGATCCATGGGAGGATCGCGCTGACGGCCTTCGTGGTGGTGGCCCTGCTGGAGGCGGGGGTGAGCTCGGAGGTAAGGGCCCCCCGGGGCCGGTGGGTGGTGGGGGTCCCGCCAGGGGGCCCCCCACGGCTGTGGGAGATGGGTGTCATGGCTCTGGTGGCCTCCGTGGCTCTTCCAGCTCCGTTACCCCATCATCCTGAGCCTGGGGTTGGACTAGATGGCCTTCAAGGGTCTTCCAACTCGTCTATCCCATCATTCTGGTCCAGGGATTGGACTGGATGGCCTTCAAGGGTCTTCCAACTCTTCTATCCCATCATCCTGTGCTTGGGGTTGGACTAGATGGCCTTCAAGGGTCTTCCAACTCTGCTATTCCATCATCCTGATCCAGGACTTGGACTAGATGTCCTCCATGTCCCTCCCAGCCCCACTAACCCATCATCCTGACCCGGGGATTGGCCTGCATGCCCCCCACGTCCCCTCCCAGCTCCACTCTCCCATCCCCCTGATCCAGGGCTTGGCCTGCATGCCCCCCACGTCCCCTCCCAGCCCCACTATCCCATCATCCTGACCCGGGCTTGGCCTGCATGCCCCCCACGCCCCCTCCCTGCCCCACTATCCCATCATCCTGATCCAGGGGGTGGGCTAGATGTCCTCCATGACCCCTCCACCTCCACAATTCCATGCTCCTGATCCAGGGCTTGGACTAGATGTCTCTCAAGGCTCCTCCAGCTCCACAATTCCATCCTCCTGATCCAGGGCTTGGCCTGGATGTCCCTCAAGCCCCCTCCAGCTTCCCTATCCCATCATCCTGCTCCAGGGCTGGGTGCCACATGGGTCTGTGGGTCCGCCCCGGGCTCTGACTGGCGGCCTCCCCCCTCAGGCAGAAAAGGCCTCGGTGGCCCAGGCCCGCCGCTTCCTGGAGTCCGGCGTGCCATCCTCGGGGGATCCGTATACCATCGTCCTGGGCGCCTACGCCCTCACCCTGCTGCACAGCCCGGCAGCCGGGCCGGCCCTGCGGAAGATGAACAGCGCGGCTCTCACGCAAGGTGGGCTGCCCCCCCCGCCCCCCCCGGGTGGAGATCTCCGGGCCCATGTGCCCCTTGTCAGGGCCCCGGGGATCTCCGGGCCCATGTGTCAGGGCCCCGGGCATCACTGCCTGCAAGGGAGGGGGGTTCTGAGATGTGGAGCCGGGGTCAGACTAGATGACCCGGAGGACCCTTCTGCCTCGCTCGGTTTCTGTGTGTCTCTGGGCAGAGCCGGGGTCAGACTAGATAACCCAGAGGTCCCATTTCCCTCCCTCTGTTCCCATGTTCCCCTGAGCAGAGCCGGGGTCAGACTAGATAACCCAGAGGTCCCATTTCCCTCCCTCTGTTCCCATGTTCCTCTGAGCAGAGCCGGGGTCAGACTAGATGCCCCGGAGACCCACCTCCCTCCGTCCCCATGTTCCCCTGAGCAGAGCCGGGGTCAGACTAGATGGCCCGGAGGCCCCTACCGCCTTCCTCCGTTCCCATGTTCCTCTTCGCAGAGCCGGGGTCAGACTAGATGTCTCTGAGGTCCCATACTCCTCGTTCTGTCCCCATGTTCCCCTGAGCAGAGCCGGGGTCAGACTAGCGGACCTCTGGGTGCCCCCTCCTCTTCTTTCCCCACAGACAGCCTCACGCACTGGGGTCTGAGCCGCCCCGCGGCCGCCGACCTGGATGCCTTCCTGGGCTTCGACGACGGGCCCCCCCAGTCAGGTAGCCCCCCAAGCGGCGCCGTGTGGGTCGGATGTGGGGCCGGCCCCCCGGGTGGGGGGTGTGGGGGGGCACCCCTCGGAAATTCGGGGGGGCCGCCCGAAATTCGGGGGGGGGTCCGGGCGGGTTCGGGGCGTCCGGTTGGAGTCGGTTTCCTCTCCTGCCGTCGCTTCCCTTTCGACGGTCCGTTTTCCTGTATTATTATTAGTATTATTAGTATTAATATTTCTATTATTTCTGTTTCTATTATTGCTGAGGATGCCGATTAATTTCGCTTTCCGTCGGTTCGTTCCGTGGCCTCCTTTGGTTTCTAGTTTTCTTATTTCTATATTTTTTTTCTATTATTTTGATGTCTATTTCTATTATTTCTTTTTCTGTTATTCATTATTCCGATTAATTTCTATTATTTCTGATTATTCCAATTAATTTCTATTATTTCGGATTATTCCGATTAATTTCCATTTCCTTTCCTTTCATCATTTCATTCCGCTGCCTCATTTCATTTCTAGTTCTCTTATTTCTATATTGGCGTTTCTGTTATTTCAGTTTCTATGTCTATTATTTCTATTTTTATTTCCTTTATTTCGATTTATTTCTATTTTCTTCCTTTTCATCATTTCATTTCTATTTCTGTTATTTTCCTATTTCAATTTCTATTTCTATATCTAATATTTCTATTTCTATTATTTCTATTTATTTCTATTCCTATTTCCTTTTCATCATTTCATTATTGACAAATAATCCCATCATCCAGTTGAGCCCAATGGCGATCATGGCCCCTTCCAACTCCAGTAATCCATGATCCCATCATCCACGGGTTGGGCTGGATGGCCTCCATGGCCCCTTCCAACTCCACTATCCCATGATCCCATCATCCCTGGGTTGGACTGGATGGCCTCCATGGCCCCTTCCAACTCCAGTATCCCATGATCCCATCATCCACGGGTTGGACTTGATGGCCTCCATGGCCCCTTCCAACTCCACCATCCCATGATCCCATCATCCACGGGTTGGACTGGATGGCCTCCATGGCCCCTTCCAACTCCACTATTCCATGATCCCATCATCCACGGGTTGGCCTTGATGGCCTCCATGGCCCCTTCCAACTCCACTATTTCATGATCCCATCATCCACGGGTTGGCCTTGATGGCCTCCATGGCTCCTCCAACTCTACTCTTCCATGACCCCGATCCCAAGGTTGGCCTAGATGTCCTTCAAGGGTCTCCCAGCTCCACGATCCCATCATCCTGAGCCAGGGGTTGGCCTTGATGTCCTCCATGACCCCCTCCAACTCCTCTATCCCATCATCCTGCTCCAAGGGTTGGCCTTGATGGCCTTCCCAACTCTCCCCTTCCATGAGCCCGATCCCAGGGTTGGACTACATGTCCTTCAAGGGTCTCCAAGCTCCACGATCCCATCATCCTGAGCCAGGGGTCAGCCTAGATGACCTCCATGGCCCCTCCAACTCCAATATTCCATGATCCCATCATCCACTGGCTGGCCTTGATGTCCTCCATGGCCCCTTCCAACTCAACCCTTCCATGATCCCGATCCCAAGGTTGGCCTAGATGTCCTTCAAGGGTCTTCCAGCCCCACGATCCCATCATCCTGACCCAGGGGGTGGACTAGATGTCCTTCAAGGGTCTTCCAACTCCACGATCCCATCATCCTGAGCCAGGGGTCGGCCTGGATGTCCTCCATGACCCCCTCCAACTCCTCTATCCCATCATCCTGCTCCAAGGGTTGGCCTTGATGTCCTCCATGGCCCCTTCCAACTCTACCCTTCCATGATCCCAATCCCAAGGTTGGACTACATGTTCTTCAAGGGTCTCCCGGCTCCTCTATCCCATCATCCTGAGCCAGGGGTTGGTCTGGATGTCCTCTGGGGCCCCCGTCCCATGATGCTCTTCTCCCCTTCCAGCGGCGTCGGCCGAGGTGGAGATGACGGCGTACGCGCTCCTCACCTTGACCCTCCTGGGCGACGTGGCCTCCGCCCTCCCCGTGGTCAAGTGGCTCTCCCAGCAGAGGAACGCCCTGGGGGGCTTCTCCTCCACCCAGGTGGGTGTCCGCCGGGGGCCCAGGATGATGGGATGGGATGGCCGAGCGGGGGACTGCCCACCCGGGGATGGGCCCAGCATGATGGACCTTGGTGGACCTTCTCCAGTTCCTTGATGGGCCCACCATGATGGGCCCACCATGCAGGTTGACCCCTGTGTGGCCCTCCAGGCTCTCCCTCCCCATGGCGGGTGGGCCCAGCACGCTGGGACGGCCCAGGATGAAGGGACCCGTCCACCCTGCGGTGGAGGATGGTGGGCCTCGGTCGACCTTGGTGGACCTTCTCAAGTTCCTTGGTGGACCTTCTCCAGTTCCTTGGACCCAGGCTCTGCCTCCCCACGGCCGGTGGCCCCCGGACGCTGGGACGGCTCAGGACGATGGAACCCGTCCACCCCGTGTGGACAATGGTGGGCCTCGGTAGACCTTGGTGGACCTTCTCCAGTTCCTTGGACCCAGGCTCTGCCTCCCCACGGCCGGTGGCCCCCGGACGCTGGGGCGGCCCAGGACGATGGGACCCGCCCACCCCGCGGTGGACGATGGTGGACCTTCTCCCCTCCCTCGGCCCCCAGGACACCTGCGTGGCCCTCCAGGCCCTGGCCGAGTACGCCATCTTGTCCTACCTCGGCGGGGTCAACCTCACCGTCTCGGTGGCCTCCACCAACCTGGACTACCAGGAGACCTTCGAGCTCAACCGGGCCAACAAGAAGATCCTCCAGAAGGCCGTGGTGAGGGGCCTCCATTTAATTTAAATTTAATTTAAATTAATTTAATTTCGAAATGTAATTTCCTTTAATTTAAGGGAATTTCACAATTGAATTTAATTGAATTGAATTTATCGGAATTTCATAATTTAATTTAATTTACCGGAATTTCATAATTTAATTTAATTTCACGGAATTTCATAATTTAATTTAATTTCACGGAATTTCATAATTGAATTGTATGATTTCAGTTAACGGAAGTTCATAATTTAATTTAAGGGAATTTCATAATTTAATTTCACGGAATTTCATAATTGAATTGTATGATTTCATTTAATGGAAGTTCATAATTTAATTTAATTTACCGGAATTGCTTGATTGGATTTAATTTAATTTAACGGAATTTCAGAATTTAATTTTATAATTTAGTTTAATTTACCAGACTTTCAGAATTTAATTTAATTTACCGGAATTTCAGAATTTAATTTTATAATTTAATTTAATTTTCCGGAATTTCGTAATTGGATTTAATTTAATTTAACAGGATTTCATAATTTAATTTCTTAATTTAATTTAATTAACCGGAATTTTGTAATTTAATTTTATAATTTAATTTACCAGAGTTTCATAATTTAATACAATTTAACATCATTTCATAATTTATGAATTTCAATGAATGTACCGGAATTTCATAATTTAACGTTATTTCGTAATGTATGAAATTCAATTAATGTAGCAGAATTTCATAATTCAATATGATTTGTCATTTCATCATTTATGAAATTCAATCGATTTCATGATTTCATAGAATTCGTTTCGTAATGTCGTTTCATATGAATGTCCGTTCATCAATATTAATGAGATATTAATATTAATGAGGTATTAATATTAATGTTAATGTTAATGAGACATTAATATAGAATTAGCTATATTCCCCCTTCCGCAGATCCCCTCCATTCCCACGGGGCTCTTCGTGAGCGCCAAAGGCGAGGGCTGCTGCCTCCTGCAGGTGAGCTATTGCCCCCGCTCTTGCCCCCGACCCCCCCGACCTCCCCAGAGGGGCACTAACACCCCCCCTTTCTCCCCCCCCACCCCGCCGGGCAGATCGACGTCTCCTACAACGTGCCGGAGCCCCTGGCCAAGCCGGCCTTCCAGCTGCTGGTGGGCCTGAGGGAGCCGGTGGGGGCCCCCCGGTCCAGGCGGGCTGCCCGTGCCCGGAAACACGCCTCGCCGGGGGGGGCCGGCCGGGAGCGGGGCTCCCCCGCCGAGCGGGAGGACCGGGTGACCGTAGAGGCCTGCGTGAGGTGAGGCCGCCGAGGGGGGGGGGGGCGGGCGGGGACGCTGGGCACGGGCTGGGGACGTTGGGCACGGGCCGGCAGCAGCTTTCGACGCAGCGGTGGCCGCTGGGCACGGGCCAGCAGCCGCCACGGTGGCCGGAACGGACCCCCTTCTCTCCCCCGGCCCGCGTCTGGGCACCTCCCATGCGCCACGGGCGCGGGGGCGCATGGGCCCCGGGCCGGGGGGGGCCGCTAACCCGCCTCTCCCCTCCGGATCGACGCCCCCGGAAGGTGGCTGCGCCCCGGATCGTCCAACATGGCCGTGCTGGAGGTGCCCCTGCTCTCCGGCTTCCAGGCCGACGTGGGGAGCCTGGAGCAGGTAAGGCCGGGGGTCGCTGGGGAGCTGGGGGACCGGGCGGGCCGGGGCTGCGGGCCGCGAGGGGGGCTCGTGCGGCGCCCGGGGGGGCGGGGCGGGGCACGGCCCCGGTGCTGTGGGGGGGGCATTTCCCATCCCGTCCTGTGCTTCGCTTTTGTCCCTTCCCTGCTTGTCCGGTCCTGCCCCTTCCCTTCCCTTCCCTTCCAGTCCTTTCTGTTCCCTTCCAGTCCTGCCCCTTCTCTTTCCTTCCTGTTCTACCCCTTCCTTTCCTGTCCAGTCCTGCCCCTTCCCTTCCCTTCCCTTCCAGTCTTGCCCCTTCCCTTCCTGTCCAGTCCTGCCCCTTCCCTTCCTGTTCAGTCCTGCCCTTTCCCTTCCTGTCCAGTCCTGCCCCTTCCCTTCCCATCGAGTCTTGCCCCTTCTCTTTCCTTACTGTTCTACCCCTTCCTTTCTCTTCCTGTCCAGTCCTGCCCCTTCCCTTCCCTTCCCTTCCCTTCCCTTCCCTTCCCTTCC